ATTTCATACAGAATAGTCCTTAAAGCTTTCAGAATAAGCGATGGCCTTTGGAACATCCGTGAGACTCTGATAACCAATATAATCGTGCTGCAATTGTTTAAACTGTGTCAAGTCCAGATCTGTTTCCATACTATTTACGAAGTCCAAGTGCTCTGTATATAATTAACATAAATGTTATTGTGAACATCGTGTATAATGGTGCATAAAAGAGTAGCCCAATCTTAAAAGAAGTGATTCAATTTTATCTTTTTTTTATGAATCAAAAGATAAATATTATTATTAATTATACAATATTTATTACATCTTAATATTATGGAAAAATGTCAATATATATTTAAAAATGCATCATTTGAAAAATTACGCTAAATTTTGATGTAAAACATGATAACATTACAATCAAGCCAGTTTTTTATACACTATTCGATTTATTAATCGAAGATATTAATCTTATATGAAATATTACCGATGCAAGAAGATGAGATCAAATTTTGTAGCCGGCCAATGCGTACTTTCGTCTTATCACAGTAGCCTTTCTTCAACATCGCAAAGAGGTCTAACATCTTTTTAAATTGTGGATCTCTAAACAAATTTTTGTTAAGGTAAGCTAATTCTTGCAGCCTATTCATAAATGTGTAAACTTACCGCATGTGCTCTTCTCTTATCAAAAGACATACAGTGGGTCGACCAGAAAGACGCCAGTACTTGCCCACAAATTGCAATTCCGTTTTAATATCATCGATCAGTAGAGCCATGTCTCTGTACAAATAAAATTCAGAGACTTCGAAGATCAGAGGGTAACACAGTACTGTCATACCACAGACTCTGTACACCTATATATGAGAAAGAATTCATCTGCCTTATTATTTTATATATTACATGATAAATGTATCATTGCATACATGCACAAGCCTTCTATTTTTTTTTAAGGAAAAAATATAAAATCACACATACTTTGCTTGTACCTAAAGAGCCTATAGGCCGCGCTGGTCGCCCCTGAAGATTCAACTTCTTGTTCACTCCCAACTTTTGATAAACCTTCACTAGCTGAGTGGACGACAGAATCTGAACGGGCTCGACTTCATGCGGCGTTTGTGTCTGAATGCCATATGTGGCCATCATGGCTTGCAATCGCATAGATTCTGCGATCAAAACTATTTGTACTACTAGGTCGGTATGAGTGCCCTGGCATAAATATAACAGTGCTCATAAATTACATGCAGCATGAGGATATTTAGTCGTATAAATAAAAATAGCAGCCATTTTTTGAAATTTTAACTAGCGCATATATAATTGTGTAAATTTGTGACAAGCTTAAGAAGCCTATGAAGTAAATAATAAATTGCAAATGTAAAACACGTGTTAGATTTTCTACAATATTACATGCTAAGATTATAATACGTTGCATAACTTCATAAATAAAATCATTAAAGGTCAAAAATAAATGCACGTTATTACATACACTGTACTATCATATTAGCAGGCATACACTTTATATTACTTACAATAGTAGGCTTTGCCTGTGTAAATAAAGAAAGAAAATATAAAAAAATTATTAATTTTTATTATTATTTATTAACTTTTAATTATGAGTTACAAAAATTAATTAAATTTAAAACAATTAAATATCTCTCTAAATTATTGTGAGACAGTACACACAATTTATATTAAAAAGTTAATATATAATGTATCGCTTAAAAAAAATTTCAGGACAAAGTTCTAATAAAATAAATTTATATTTTTGGGTTTAGTGAGATAAATATATATTTTTGGGGGATTTTTTTGATACGATTACTCAAATCAAACAAAGTAATAGATTAATACATATATTTATTTAAAATATAGACCTTATATATATATTTGAAATAGAATTTTTTTCTCTTTTACCTGGAAAGCAGAATATCTTCCTGCTCGCCTCGGACGATTATACGATGGAAGATATCGACGAACAGGATCTAATTCGTTGATGTGCAGAAGACCAGCAGTGAGTAGCTGCGCAATTACAAACATAGCTTGATTCCATAAATATATCGGCGTAACATCGTCCATAAATTTAGGGCCTCTCCCTTCATCACTGGGTAGCCGATAAGCACTACACGGCTCGTTCCTTTCAGTTTCCAAATTTTCCACGGGTACATAATAGCACATAGGAACGACTGGATCTATACCAGGTAAGCCAAAATTTATTTATGTAACTTCTAATTATATGTATAATCGAAGATTTATAAAACATTATTTGTATTATAGGCACTGCTTGAATAAAACTAGAGATATTATTTAAATATTCAAGAACCTCCATTCAAATCCTTTTGCACTCTTGCTTTCAATAAATTTTGATATTCTTCCACTTGTTCCTGTAGACTCTTAAATACACCATCTATTATCATAAAGATGTAAAACAATGGCCATTCGCATTCGATATTGTCGAAATCCTGTTGAAACAAGTCATCAGTTACTGTATTAAAATTCGTAGTTCTTATCTGCGACGAATGTTATAAATTTTAGGACCTTGATCTCTCCAGATTTGTAATATCGTCGCTGTTTGTCCTCCAATACAGTTTTATAACCATCTCTTCCAAAACGTTTAAAACCGTAATTGCCTTTTAATCTGCGGACTATGCTCGCTTTTGTTTCATTGTACAATACTTCTTCATGAGTTGCAAAGGCAGGAAAGGATATTGTTGGCAGCAAGGCCGCGTCTACACTCTAGAAATTACATATCTCTTATCAAAATTGGTCCGAATATTTTACACAATTGAGATTGCTTACTTTCGAACTGGATTCTCTTGGAAGCATTGTTTCGAAAATACTACGATTGCGATTGTGAGCATCAATATCAACGTATATCACAGACCAAGATGCACCTTTTTCACCAAATAAATTACAGCCGTTAATTGCCTCTAATGCGCTCTTGGCGATTCCAATGGAGCTGGCGTGAATCTCAGGTGTTCCATCATTATATCGACTTCCACGTTCCCACATACCGTAGTCTGGTGTACGGTACGCTCTTTCGACGTAATATACCAGATTTTGCACAAAGGCTACTTCGTCTTGTGTATATATAATTTGTAGCCCAGAGGATATCATTTGTACTAAGAATATTAAGTAAAGAGATACGATGTCTATCTAGATTGAACAGAATAAATACTTGTAATAATTAAGAAAATATTTTCAATTGTTATATATAATAATACTGAAAAAACACCATATTAATTATGTCCTATTTTACTATAATATGTTTATATATATAAGCGAATATAAATTATTATACATATTTCCTGTATAGTTGAAATTATTAGTGCTTCACAGAAATATGTAATATTATTATTGCTTACTTGTAAATGATGGTAATCAATATCCTTGTAGATTTCATCGCCAGTATCCAAATGAAACTTACAGTGTAAAGCATAACGGTCGCATTGATTTTTCTTAAAAAGCTCTATTCTGGAAGACTGTTTTATCCAACACTCCAAGATACCCCGCATGCACTTTATTGTGGATTGTCCCAGCTCATATGATTTTCCACGATCATCATCTATACGTCTATATGCTTGATATAGACTCCATATGGCAGCTGCGCAATATATACTTTCGCGTACACTGCCAACCTTCCGATCGCTCGAAATCTGTGGGAACAAGCCAGTTATGCAGCTCTGATAGCGCAGTAATTGTCTCTTAACGATTCCATAATATATGTCCAATTGTTTAACAGTGTCCTCATAATTAGATATCTTGAGAAACATTTCAGCGTCAATATCTATCACGCTGCCTTGTCGTACATTTCTGATCTGCGTAATTCTGCAACACAAGGAAAAATAAACTTTATTAAAAATCTTTTGCATCAACCATTTCTTTCAATATAACAAATCTCACAGACCTTTTCGCAGCATTCAACGGTGTTGTCACTGAAGTAGCCATTTTATTCAAAATGTGTACAAGCTATTTTTGATTTAATACACCTACAAACAAGTTCTTATGTATATATAGATATATTTCGAAATTTACTGCAGTACTACAAGTCTATAGTTACACATCCTGTAGATTCTCAGTATTATCAATACATTTGAGAATTCATTTTATTATCAACAATTATATCTATGCATTCTATGTCAAATCTCAATCAAGTAATTAAAATATCATATTTCATGTGTGTGTATATATATATATATATATATGTAACACCTGAATAATTAACAGTTCATTCTTCTTGTCAAATTCAGCTTGATGTCCTTCAGTGGTCCTTGAGTTCTCTTTCGATTAAAAGCCGATTTTTTTTATTGGAGCAAAAAATACATAACACAGGATGACCTTCGAGGGGTCGCAAAATCAGCTGTGATGCTGTGATCAGCTGATGTAGCCGCATGCTAGGATTGCTAGGCTGCGTTCAGAAGCCGCTCAGATAGCACTTAAGTCCGATATACATTAGAGTCCCTCTAATCTACATAAAGGAGATCACACATACAAAAATTTTAGTCGTAATCGTAAGGCGTAAGCAAATTTAAAATGTTTTAAAACGTGAGATCGTAATTTTGATTGTGATCGGGCTTAAATTGTAAACACAGAACGCGGATCGCAAGCTCGTTGCATCAGTCAATTCGATGTATCTATTTTCAAAATGACGCTTCGAGATTGGCTTACAATTTCATACACTATATAGCAAAGCTTTGCTGGCGAAAACCCGGAGACTCGGAGACCGGAGATCCCCCCCACTCCGTCAAATCGTGTGAAAATGCGTAGCGTGCCGCGTGCTAAATTTCGCTCAAAATTCTGTCTCGTGAAGCCAACTTAGCCAACATTGAATTGTAATGAGCGATGCCACGATTAGACTATTATGACGAAGTAGAAATCGAAGATTTCGAGTACGACGAGGACGAGGAAGTTTATTACTATCCCTGTCCATGTGGTGATCAATTCCAAATATCTCTTTCCGACCTGGCCGCCGGTGAAGAAGAGGTTACATGTCCCTCGTGTTCCCTCGTGATCAAGGTGATTTATGATAGAGAGGCCTTTCGTATTAAACAAGAAGAGCTTGAAAAGAAAAGCGATAAAAAAGAATTAGCAACTCAACAAGTTTAAGGTAAAAAAAGCTATTCCGAAAATTTTATGAGATAGATAGGTTAGGATTGTGCTAGAAAAATACAATTTTACGCCAAAATAAACAAAAGTTTTAAGACATGAAACTGTGATCCATTGATTGCTTTAAAAGTCATACAGACAGATGTCTCTCCAGATGAGTGTTTATTATTGTGTCCTTATGTTCTCTTGTTTTTTTTTATCGTTGATTTCTTTGTACTCAGTCAGTTAGACTGAGAGCTTAGAACAGAGTGGTTCTAAATACGATTGTCACTTTCTTACTTTCATATCGTTGCAGTTAAATTTGAATAATGTAAGTTTTAGTAACTTTCATATCGTGGCGTTAAATTTTACTAATTTTTATCTAATCTGGCTGTTAAAATTTTATATAACTTTTGATCATTTTCATTTTATTAATTCTTTTTACTTTCTTATTGTTAAAGGAAATTTTGATTTTGAATCAAAACATATATTTGTAAAGTTATTTGGTTATTGAATATAAATTGTGACCTAATTTATGAATTTCGTTATATAACTTGCTTAGAAATATTGCATGATCCTTAACTTTAATATCTGAATAGTTTATTAAAATATTGTTTTATCAATTAATACATTATACCAGGAAACGAAGAAATATCAATAACAGAATGGCAGGACGCGGTAGAGGAAAGTCTGCTATGTCCTTTTCCATGGAACAGTTGGGCCTCTCTAAAGGAGAAACACTATCAACACCAGTTCCGCAACCATCTTTAAGTTATCCTCCATTGGATCACAAACCTCCACCTATTCAAATAACCAACGAGATGGAGTATCTAGTAGAATTGAAAAGGCATTTCACTGAATATATGCGAGAGTCACCGTATTATGTGAAAGCTACTGTTATAAATGAAGATATTGAACGATACAGCGATGCTTTTAAAGAGGATTTCACAGACAATGATGAATCGAAATATGAGGCGTACCATGATTGGAGCTTAATGCCAGAGGAATTAAGAACGTCGAGAAAACGAAAACTCCGGAAAAACCCGGAGCAAAAAGAAAATAATAAGAAAAAGGACATTGTGGATATTGTGAAAAAGTTGTCAGAATTGGAGAAAAAAGAAAATATGCAACACCCTGCAGAAGAGGAAGATAAAGAAGGGAATGAAGAGGAGAATGACGAAGAAAAGGATGATAGTGTAAAGGAGGAGGAGGAAGATGAGATGGATGATGGGACTGATTATGCAAATGAATACTTCGAGAATGGCGACAATTACTATAGCGAAGATGAGGTTACTGACGATCAATTCTTTGATGCATAAATACTTGTATGTTTCAGAAAATTTTTTTTTTATATCTTGGCTCTTTTATATCTGTCAGACATTTTCAAAGCTTTAATCACAAGTAGAATTGAAAAGGCATTTCACCGAGTATGTACGAGAGCCGAACATAAATATGTCGCCAATTATGTGAAAGCTGCTGTTGAAAATGAAGACATTAAACAATATAGCAATGTTTTTAAAGACGATTTCACAGAAAATGATGAATCAAAAGATAAGTTAAGGACGCCGAGAAACTAAAAACTCTTTTACTGTAAGTTCACCGCGGTTATTGCAAATTCACTTAAATTACGCAAGATTTTTATTCTTTACAATTTGTCAGTTAATTTTAATATCATTGTTTAGAGAAAACCGATTAGCGCGTAAGTTAAACTGACAATGAGAAAAGATTGTGCACATATGTATGTGACTCACTATTAAATATAATATAAGTTGAATAAGTAACATTGGTTTATTTTTTTTTTCTTAGAACAAATTCTCCATAACATTGTTGTCCTTGTTCTTCTTCTGTTAGGTCTGTGGTCTGTGTTACACACCTTTCTCATATGCTTGTAATGCGCACGCTGATTATTTGCCACGAGTATATGGAGCCTACAATTTTAATGTTGGTTCCGAACAGCGGATTTTTCGAGAGGTGTTTCTGGACAAGGAGATTGCCGGCCTTTTCCGAGAGGAGACACGAGCGTAAATATTTAATTGCTACCGAGATCGAACCCGAGACTTCTGGCACGATAGATCAGTGTGTTGTCTGCCACTCTCGCGTTCGTTAACATCGATTTTTAATTTCAAATAACGATGGGACATAAATATGTTTAGCTTTTCTTCGCTATCCTCTTGTTATTGATAGGGAAGGAAAGGATTTGTCGTAACATGTGGATATAATTCGAAGTAGGGGGCACGCAGCGTGACGATTAAAATAGTCTAGAAATCACAGGAAGCGTCGGCGTGTTTTTTTATTACGAGTATTTCACAATTTCTAATATATAATATATTTATATAATATATATAGCCATAATAATCTGCAATTGTAATAAATGACCCTTTTCTATGATGCCATCGGATAGTACAAACGCAATGTTTCTTGGGGTGACTGGGAAAATGGAAGAGGGGGAGGAAGGGGTAAAAAGATAGAGGAACGGTGTGTAGAATACGCAAAAATACCATAGCGTTTATAATGCTCGTTATGCATACGTTAAGTTTTAGTGATTTCATCCCGTGTTTATATATGTATATATTTTTTTCCTTTATTTCTCTAATTAATTGCCGACCGCGAATTAAGCGCTTTAAAAATCCGTGTATTATAAAGACGAAACAAAAATTAAATCGCAGAGAGAAAAAGTTTTCCGAACTTCCGTAAAACTTCCAGTCACTGGATCATTCATCGTTCTTCTAAGACCGAGTCCATCATCAGAGGATATCTTAGAACTATTGAGAGATCCGAATCCTTTGCAATAAATAACCCGGATAGGGAAAGAAATTGCGCGAAATTTCTTTTTCGTTTGATGCGATGTGATGTAAATTTAGAGTGCGATGGCAGTAAATCGCAAAAATAATTCTGTTCCTTACTACTTTTTTTTTTATCAAAAATTCGGAATTCTTCGACCGAGTCAAGTCGTTCTAAGTTGCAAGGTCTAATAAAGCACTTGGGAGTTATCGCAAACGATTTGAACTTAATTATCTATATAACGAGCCATATATCTTTTATGCGGAAATATGCGTGCAAAAAAATAATATATCTTTTACATTTCGTGAATATTTAAACGATATAAGACCAATAACAATATCAGATCAATATTAATTGAGCCAATTAAACTACATGTATGGTAATAAAAATTCTTCACAAATAAGTTACATTACAAAATATAACATTTAACATACGATATGTATATGTATGTTTGTATATACCTATACATGTATGTTTCATATATAATGAGATTGTGTAAACAAGTGTAAAAAAAGAATTAATAAAATTGTTATGAACGGTAAGATTGTTATGGATTATAATTTTGAGATATCTACACTTTGCACTTTGATACTGAAGAGTGTGGTGCGAAAATATAATTCAGAAGAATCTTAATTCAAAGTTGTATATAAAATAAGAGAGATATTTTGATTGTGTGATACTATAATAGGGATGGCAAATAGAACTGAATTTTGTAATAAGCTTTAAAGCGCTTTTCACTTTCATTAGATTTTTGTTGAATTGTATGAGCAATTAAAATAATATCTGATTAAAATAATTGTACATTCGTAATAAGACAAATCAAGTAAAAAAGCTAATTAACGGTTTATCCACTAATGTCTATTAATGATTCAACTGATATATCATATCGTTCGTGTATAAATCGTTCTTAATAAAACAGTTTAAGATAAAATCTCTCAATGTAAAGGCGTGTAACAATCCCGAGTCCATGGTGTAAATATCCACCATGGACCTATACACCATGCCCGAGTCATCGATGATATTCTCACTAGGAAATTAATTCAGAATTATTTGCAGTTATCTAATTGTTACAATATTTCTTGTGATCACGTTTCTTAATTTCCTTTTCGTTGCATTATAAAATAGGTAATTATCATACTTATATTATGGGCGAGGCAGAAAATTAGGTGACAATTTTTTTTTAACGATCATGCACTCGGCAATGTCCGAAAGACATTAAATTCTCCAAAAATTAATTTTATAACGGAGTTATTGAGATGATGTTACTTGGTTATATATTTGAAATATATTTACATTTGAATTCTTCAGGTTTTTTGACCTCAGGTTTCTCTCTTCGCGCAATTCTATGACATGTCATTTTTTCATTAATATCTATAACATTTATATTAGCAAAATCGATTCTTTTTGGAAATGATGTTCAATTAGATTCTTCGGAACGTCTTATTTTCTCTTGAAACCTCTTTTCTAACACTTTCGCGTAATTAGAAGACAGCATACAATTAGCGTTATCCAGCACTCTAATTTGTCGCGATGAAAAAAAGCTGTCTTGCTAATCGATAAGAATTCATGTCTTCAGTAACGATTATCTTCCTACTTTCGTCAACGAAAACAAGTGGCAAAAACATAGAATATTTTAAGGAACTACGTACATTCCATTTGGACAGCCTTTTCACAGCTTTCCTATCTACATTTTCATCACAATAATCAAATGTGCTCAGAATAGAATATGAAAAAGAGCAAAAAGCGTATCTTTGAAAACTATAATATACATCCACAGCGTAATTATAGCTATGAGCGCATGAATCTCGCAACACGCTCCGATGGCAACTTTCAGACACCAGAATTTCAAATTAGGTATCTTATCGCTCGCAAATCTAGAAAAAACGATACCTCACAGTTTGATATTTTAAGAAGTGCTTACAAATAAATTTATCGAATCGATACGAATGGAGAACTATTAATGAAGATGTTAACGATGAAGTCGTTAAATGGATGTAATACTTGCTTTCGCTTTTGGTCGTTTTGGACAAATGGGAAACGTCGTTTCTCACGGATCGAATCGCAATCTAATTCATGCGGCGTGACGTTCTGAAAATCACAGGACAGGTCTGCTTCTGTATTCGGACGGGCAGTGTGAGCTTGCGAGATACTTCTTCAACATGTTTGAAAAAAAAAGTCAATTTCAACAAGCCATATTATACACAGTTTCGCTTCAATAGCGTCGCTTATGAGGAATCACTCGGACCTTGACTGCGAAAAAAAGAAACACCTGTCTCGTTTAAGAAAAACATTTTAAATTAGCTATCATATACATTTAAGATCACGATGGCTCTATAAGTCAACTTACAAGAAAGAGAAATCTTAAATAACGTGGAATGAAACAAGATAAAGTTAATTGAAATAAAATAAAATATACATCGAGTATAATAGAAACATTTATTTTCAATATTTTTGTAATAGTAAATTTATTAATGTTTAGTAGAAATTTGTAGTGTGATAAGAGAACTTTTTGTCTCTGAATTAATTAAAACCTCTTATTGAACAGATCGGTATGAGCAGAGCTCATACCGATATGTGTTCAACCCAAATATTAGACTGAATGCCAAGTAGGTGCTCGCGATAAAGGGCGCAAAAGGGTAATAATTGCATTGGAATTGCATCGGCAAACGAATTTGGGGCTGCAGTCAGCCCTTTCATCATCACTCGATGCTGCGAAGCGTTCCATGTCTGTGATATAACAGTTTGTGATGATAACTCCCTATTAAGAAAATTTTAAAATTTAAAAGCACGTCTGAAAGACATTGTGACAACATCTGAAAATTGTCCTAATTTTTTTATCCTTTTTAAATATATTTCAGACGTCGTCCACTTCATGATGCAATTTTGAAAAAAAGGTCATCGACATTTTGTTTATATATGCACCGCAGTGCATATTAGAATTATCTCGAGTTTCACGAATCGGAATCGCGCGACTTATTCTAGGTGTCATGCTTTTTTTTGTTTTTTTTTTCCATCAATTTAGTATTTCGCTAACAATTCTTTTAACGTTGAATAAGAATACTTAATTCTGCGTTACAAACGCGACATCGAAAGCCGAAAGGCGAAGGTACAAAAAGGATCACATTGCCACTCAATAAAATGTCTCAATAATCCATCGCATTCCTATACGTTAAGTAAAAGATCATTCTCTGGATGAAAAATTAGGCCGACTTTTTACGCAATGGACTTTCAGCGGGAAGCGCTACTGTGCGATTCATGCAGATGTAATATGTTCCTCCAGTGGTCCTCAGATTTTTCTGTATTTTCCAAATAACTTCAGAATTATTGTAAGAGAAATAAAATAAATATTAAAAGCAATAGGTATTGTAATTGTTTTGTAGACATTCTACAAAAGAAAAATTTTAATCACGAAAGGAAGATTTCAACAGTACATTTTTCTTAACGTAACTAAAATATAATATAATTGTTATTTTTTGTAATTAAACAATAAAACAGACATAGGAAAATTAAAGTATATTGCAATTGATCATAATTCCTTTATATTGCATCGTAATATAAAATCTGGGAATCACTGATTAACTTGAAGCTTCCACAACAGCTAAATCTTTAGATGCGCTGGATGAAATTTGTTTATCTTTTCCCTATGATCAAGTCAACGATAATCCTTACATTCGAAATCGTTATGTCGAAATCACATTTAGGACCGAGCAACAGTAAGTCGAGATAATAATTCTCGTTTTCTTTCGTGTTGAATCCAGCCCGAATCCTTGTCTTATCTGTCAAATTTCTCGTCAAATTGTTCTCTCTGACTTTCGTTCCTCTCATATACTTAGTGTCGTGTGTGTATTATTTAGTATCATTATCATTAGCATTATTATCGTTACATATATGTTGCTTCACTACGGTTGATTGGCTTTTGGACGTGGATCTGGATGGAGTGTGGTGTATATACCATGCGCGCGCGTGAAAGAGACAGAGAAAAGCTCCAACATTATCTTCTTTCTGTCTCGCGGCGTCTTCGAACGAGGACGAGCGAGAGTTCTCCAAATATTTCTTGGTTCATTCATCCGACTATGAATAATGAAAATGGAGTGTTTACAGTAAAACATCAAATTTTTACGCTTAAATATATGGTTAATAATTAATAATTAATAATTTGGATCTCAATAAAATCTTGAATAAATACTTTCCATATTTCTTTTTTTTTCTTCTTTATTCTATATATTTATAAAAGCCTAATTTATTTATTTATTCTTTAGCATTATACGGTGTTTTTAATGATAAGATAAGTCTTTTTGAAATTTATCGCAAGTCCGAACGACGAACCTCGCTCGTCATCGATCTCCGAGTCTAGACCTTTTTTGCTGTCGTCATTGTTTTCTTCAAAAAGGAACGTATGAAAGAATATATATTTGCGTAAGAAATCAGACGGAATACATAGCATGCAGAGCGGATAGGTAGCGTCCATCAATCTTCGTTTTTTTTTTGTCATTTTTCTCTCTTGATGAGCGTGATTTCGATTTGCTATCGATTTAGAAATTTGCGTATTCTCGATAAATTTGATGTTTCTTTCAATCGAGTGTAACATTAAATCACGTCGTTATCATCATTATCATTATCATTATCGCTATCCTCTATATTTTTTTCTTCTTCTTTCTCATCATCATGATCACATACACATAGCGACATTTCGTGTTAAATCGTAATCGTGAAGATGTTCAATGCGCTATGTTACTCTGTGTGAAAAAACACTACGCCTCACTACAGTAATTCATTTCCTTTCATACGTGAAGACTAAATTGGGCCGTGAATTTTTTGAAACTACGCTTGTGACTCGCATCTCCCGATCATTTGCACCGCGATACATGGTGAATAATCAAGTGAAAATTAATCGTTTCCGATTCTTATAATATTATATTAAAAATGTTCTAAGAAATATTTTTAATATAATATTATAGAACGAATATAATTGTATGATTTCTTTATATCACTTGCAATCATTAAGCTTGTGACATAGTATCATTTTTATTTCAACTTTCTGAGAACTTAATAATATAAATTATTACTCTTTTTTAAAGAGTATCGTGCTTTGTCAAAAATATCAATCTTTATCAGCTTTTAAATAATTAATCGATGCTGTGCTTCCAAGTAGAACTTAATTAGAAATAAATTTTACACACGACGTAGAAATTATATCTAAAACCACATTTTGAAACCGAGAATTGTTTATTTCATAATATCTTTCAGTGAAGAAATTAAATAATTTGTCTGTAAAATCACATGCGAAACGATCGAGATGCGGATAGTTTAAAGATGGACTAAATTCTTTCGTGGCGACAATACGTGCGTTAAGAGAGATCTCTTTATTCGAAAGAAACTGGTTCATGATTTTGCCAAGGATTCCACAGATCCCTTCAATCTATATATAATTCTTATGTAACTTCGATTTTGCATAAAAATAAACGACAAAAATAATATAATTAATTTCCAGAATTTTTTAAACTAATAAAATACATTAAAATATAAATATAGATAAGAAAATAAATAAATATTTTACATATTTTAAATATATTAAATTTAAATAAATATGTAAAAATTAATATAAATAATAATACTTAATAGTTCGATTTGAGAAATCCTCAGCGAGATGTCGAATTTCATTTACAACCCGCGAGTGCGATAATATCCCATAATTGTATACATACGTGTATACGTATTAATAATTGTATATTCCGTATATAGACTTATATAAAACGCACGAAGCGGTTATTCGAAGGCTACTCGTTTCAGATTTTATTTATTTATAGCGACAAGCCATTTCTGTACCTGTCGGCTCGATACTTGGCTTCGAGTTTTATCAATGGAAAAAGAATTCGGACTTAACTACATGGATCCCGCGTATACGGGATCATTTTAATATCCTATATAACGTTAATGTTTTTCATGTAAATGTATATTCGTCTAGACACCCTCTCTATGTCAATGAGCATGTTTATGTGTTTGTGTATGCGTATCATGTGTACAATGAATAAAAGAACATTTGCACGATCCAATTTTGTTGGTATAATTTTGCACGAAGAAAAAATATGTTGCTACAATGTGCTTTATTCCATATTTTAGTACAAATGAAAACAATTTTAATAGAAACACTTTGCGATAGAGAATATCTTTTCGCTTCGTAAAAAATTATTCCAAGATAGAATGTGCAAAGATACTTTTCTTATTCATATGTATCTCATATAATCTTTGTTAATGTGTATCTCATATAATTGTATCTTGTTTTTACAATCTAATGAGACACCTCGCAATAAGATCACTAATCAGTCAAAGAATGAAAAAAAAGACGCGAGTATATTTTCCGTGTATGTTTGTGTGTGTGTGTGTGTTGCATGTGTAATTGTTATGTATTTGTATATGCAAGCACGTGTAAGTAAAGACGCGAGTATATTTTCCGTGTATGTTTGTGTGTGTGTGTGTGTGTTGCATGTGTAATTGTTATGTATTTGTATATGCAAGCACGTGTAAGTATTAGATGATTACGCGTTCTTCGAATCATTCGAAGTGTGAAACAAGACCGACGCGCAACCTGCACGCACCGTCGTCGTATAAGCTTCTCACGTCAATCCTTCACCCTGACATATCCTTGTCTAGAATTATTTCTCTTTTTTTTTTTACTAATGATGCGACGACCGCAAATTCACGACGCTGTCCTACAGTCTGTCTTTTGAAGGAGAAAGAAGCTTTTTTTGTATTAATTATCATTATTAATGATCAGTAATTTAATTTGAGTTTCTGTGCCTTTTCGAGTTTGTGTCTGCATGAAAGCCTTAGAATCTGATCTTGTTTAATCTGAAATGTGTAGCGTTATTTTGATCGTTTTGACCATATGCTTGTTACATAGTAGTCCTTAATAAACGAATAAATTGATTATAGACCGCAATTTTAACCTTCAGGAACAATATCGATTAGTCTCATCAGTTATCCGTTGTTCTTTCTATCTTTCTATAAAGTTCTATTGACGATTGTTTCTTTTTTTCAGATAATTCCGATTTAAAATCGATATACATGATAACATGGTTCTTCCAATCCTTAAAAGTCTTGAATATTTTCAGAATATATTTTAATGTAAAAAAAAAGGATTTTATTCCCGAAGATCTTGAATTATCAAAGCGGCGTTTAGTCGAGAAAATTCCTTCACGAGGATATCATCTCACTTCTTTTTCCCCCTTTCGCTCTCACGTGTGTAACATATATTTTTCTGAGCAGCTAAAAGCTATGAAAGCACATGGACAGACCAATCGACGATAGGATACAGCAGAGTGGGACGAAACCTTCTTCCCAGAAGGGCTGTCCTGCCCTACCCTACTGTTCGTAGTTCTTCGTCAAAGCGTCTTTTTCTTCTCTTGTCGTTTCGAAGATCACTGCTTTTAATTCTCCGCGCCATTGTTGCCCTTTCCCCAGAACTTGTCGAAGCGGTTTCGCGCCTTCTCTAAGACATCGGTTGCTGCTGAACGTTGTGCTGAGCCCGGTACCACTGTTGGTGCTTCCAGAACGTGGTAACCACTCGCAGTGCTACCTCCGGTGCTACTTCCTGTACCCACAGTGCTGCTACTACTACCGCCAGTACCTTGAGCTGACGACTCGGCTTCGAGAACGCGGTAACTCTGTGGTGCGGGCGACGTCGACGATGTCGTCGTCACCGGCGCTGTCGTGATCGCCACCGGTATACCACCTTCTTTTTTACTTTCTATTTCAAACGTCGGATCTTCCAGACGTCTCAGGTTTGTGCCTGTCATTGATTTTATCGATTCCGGGCTCTGTCGCTCTTTCGTCTCCTCGACAATGGTGATCTCCTAAAATTAAACGCAAAAAGAATTATCGTAAATTACTCTCTTTGTCGCTATGAAACGTAACAATCGCTTATACATACATGCGAGCGAATACATCGAAAGATATAGTTCCTGACCTTCTCATCCTTAGGTGTGTCCTGCGCGTTCGTGGGCAATGGACTGTCCCTTTCCGAGTCCAAGTCCTTGTGGCCGTTTATGCCGCTAAAACTACCGAGCGAGACGCTTTCGCTCTCGGGTGATTTGTAGCCAGAGTGCTGGGAATGCTGTGATTTGTGTTGAGCCGCAAGCTCCGGTGGTGCTGATTGCGGCGCCGATGGTACTGAGGACGGTGCCCACGTCTTTGCCTCACTATGCGGACGCGTCAGAGGTTCTTCGAAATAAAAGAACAATTAGAATCACGATCATGATAATATTATCTATGGTATTATATATGTCAAATCATAACACGCCATAAATTTATATACATAAAGTACATGGAAAGAATTTGTTAAAATATTTATTTAAAATTTAATTATAGATCTGAAAATAATTTGGACTACCCAAATAATTATGTAGGAAACTCAAGTATGATGATCAATGCTGACAAAAATTTTTATATTCTAGACACCAACTTAAGCGTCTTATAATTATAATTTTGATAATCCAACAAAATTATTTTCAGATAGAATAGTCTACGTATTTTCATAGAAAATTATGCATTAACAGTAATATATATACATTTGTATTGTAGTCTGAAGCCTGTTCTTTTTAACTAAACTGTTCTTTTTTAACTTTTTGCACCGTTTACCTTTTGCAAAGATGAATCATGCAAGAAGTTCAGCTAAAAAAAAAACAGACCTCTTGTCTGGGTCTAAATTTCTAAATAAAATATTCCATGTATATTCATATCGATTCTGTATATATTTCTATCGATTTAAATATTCTGAAAGCACTTGTATTTTATAAAGATGTTCTGAAAATATTTTGTGCATCTTGAAACTTTCCGATCACATCTTCCATCAAGAGTTCTTACCTTCCCGGACATTTTGCGTCACGGTGAAAGTCTTGCCGGTGTCGAGGGGTACGGTCCAATTTACGGGTTCCGGCGAGCGCATGATCATCTGCTCTGGCGACTTTACTCTCGTTGGCTCCGGTGGGCTCTTCACCACCGGCTCGTCGTCTAGCCAGGGACTTGCTTGGGTGACAGGCGCTGGCCCCACTACCTTTGTCGTTTGCGACGGTGGCGTCGAAGCGACGCTCGAATCCCCGCCGGTGACATCCCCGTTTACTTGGGGTTCCGCCGTCACTGGAACGTTTGAAACGAAACGCTTTATCGTCGACGTAGATGATCGTTCTAGGTTCCTACCCCTACCCCCCGTGTTCCCCGAAGCTTGCACTCGATGATGAGACAAATTACCGTGATTAATTCATACCCGATATATATTTCATCTTTTTCTTGATAATTTATTTATTACTTGTAATAAGTAGATTATCAAGAAATTACTTGTTTACAAAATAACATGCGGCAATCAACAATGTTTGAGATTGCAATCATTGCGTTACGATTCAGTTCAAGTTTAATTTGAGAATTTACGTACTACTGAAGGTTACAATTTGTTGTACAGTTTGTTTGTATCTCTCATTATCGTCGCAGCGGCAAAGTTGCAGTTGTATTTGTTGGGCTAAATTCAACATGTTTAGGATATTTACTTCTCTAAAAAGAGATAGAGAGAGAGAGAGAGTTACGAGAGTTGTTGCGGAGTGCTGTGGGAAATTAAATTGGATGATGTTACGAATGTGGGCTCGGTACGTCCAAAGCCAGGCGTTGACACACACAATCCGACGTGATTAATTGTGGATGACAAAGAAATAAACCTTTCGCTGCGACATCTTGTAATCGCAATATCTTAATCAAAATATCGAAAAATCTGAACATTTTTTATTCATTTACTGAGTTATAATATATTACATACCATAAATATATTATTATTTTATAAGCTATTAATATATAATTAATTACTTAAACTTATATATTACGTACATATATTAATGGTATATATATATATATAATATTATATATATTATACATATTAATAAAAATTTATATCGATATATTAATTGATTATCGCATATTATCATAAGTCTAGTAATTATGGACCAGCAGATGAGGCAGCAAAAGGATTAATGAAAAACACTTAAACTATCGTTTCCCCAGACAGTATCGACAATCCTTTACAAGTGTCATTACGATAAATATTACTCAACATTGAAAGTGCTGATTATTCTACGCTGCTGCGACGAGATATCTTTGTCCCCTCATCAATAGGAAATGCCTCGGATTTCTTAAAATACAATATTTTTACATATCGATACCTCTCAAAAGATTTTAATGCCGGCATCGAGTGCAGGCGAGATTCTCTCTCGAGCATGAATATAGAATACACGAAAGCTGTTAATATTGTATATATCTCGAAAGGTACATTGGCGTTCTCAGGATGCAATATAAAGATACGCAACAATACATACAGCTACAAACATCAGGAGCGAAAGGAAGGAAAGAGAAAAAGGGGAGAGGATGAGAGAGAGGGTGAGAGAGAGAGAGAGAGAGAGAGAGAGAGAGAGAGACAGAAGCACAAAATGTGAATATATATATTTACATATATTTATATATACACACGTATGTGTCATAGTGTGCAAGTGCGTGTATACCGCGCAACAGGTTGATAAAAGGGCTTAACGTACATACATATGATATAGTTTTCCCGATAAATCGCAGAAACGATCATTCGATCTTCCGCACTTGAACTACTTCATGCTTCATTATTTGTTTATACTCGTATATTACTTGAATCTTTGCAATAACACGAAAGAAACAAGAAATTGCACAATTTGCGCACGAAATGGACAGTTTTATTCTTTGCCTTCGAAGAAGTATATTTCTGATGAAGAGAGAAAAGGAAAGAGAAAGAGGGAGAAAACGAGAGAGAGATCTTTCATAAAAACACTCTTATCAAAATTTTCTTATAAAATTATGTTTTTTCTTAATTTTTTCTAGTTTCGCTTATTTAATAGTTTTACTCATGGAAATTATTCACATTATTCCAGCAAAGTAAAGAATGGAGTTTGGTGAAGAATTCTTATTCTCTTATGTCAATATAAAAATATATGTTTTTTTTTAAATTATGTTTTTATCAATTTCACAATTATTCTAGAGAAAATATCGAGTTAAAGACTGTACTTAGCTGCACTGCTAATATATACCGTTATTTTATTATTAAAGGCAAGAAGTCAATCTCCACTTTGAGAAAACGCTCTATAAAAGCTCCTAGTTGATATTTTAAGGATTTAAAATAAACTTACGGAAGCTAACGATTGCAAGTCACTGCGACCTATAATACACATCGTGTATGAAATGACAGTAGGTAGCCAGAGATAGAAATAAATAATGGAATGAATACGTTCGGAAATAACAGAGTCTGCGAAAGGTATAAACCCACAAAAAAATGTATAATCTTTCCATTGAAAGCCTTTTCTCATATGCATTTATATTTAGAAAGCCAGAGCTTCCCATTATTGAAAAATTTTGTCCCGTTGTACACAGTTGACAAGAAAAAAATTCGTAGATAGTGTAGTTTGTTCTATACAAAAAATAACAATATATATATGTATATATTTCGTATGATGAAATGTTTCCACTACAAATATCTGAGTGTAATACATATAAGGCAATAAAAACGAATCGTTTATTGTATGTTCATAGTCACTAACATATTGTCTAGTTTTCAAAAGATTTCAGAGTACAGAAGTTTTTCTGCGAGAATAATTTGTGCCAACTTCATATCGGCAATAATTCGTCACCATTTTTTACACAAAATGAAAGACGAATGAAAAGCAGCTTTTAAAAATTTCAAATAGTATCTAAGTAGTTGAGAATCCTATATGGTCGTTAAGACATACATGGAGATTTCAACGCAGGAAGATCTGACAAAATTAAAGAATTCATATAATGAACTTTTTTTCACGAATGCACTAATACACATTTTTCAATGACGTAGATTTGGTTTATTATGCTTTCGTTTTGCGTTGTTTATTTTATCCATAGAAGTAAAATTTTCACAGAGAATGCGTATATATATTTGAATACAATATACAGGAATAAATTGTTGTAGAACACAATAAATTGGAAATGCATGCGCGATAGAGCGTCGATATCTATAATTAGACTGATTATAATATTATATAATTTAGAGAAGTCAATCCGAAAGAAATATAATATTTATTACTAATTTTTATATTATTCTTTAAATTTCAATTTTAATAATGCATTTTTTTTAAATTTACAACGCAAAATTCAATACAGAATTATACGAGAAACGAATGACTTTATTTTTCTTTTTTATAATTCTCTAGAAAAAGAAGTAAATTCATTCTCTGATTCTGAATGGAATCTGGAAACTTATCTTAACTTTTTACCCAAAAAAAAAGAATGTTCTGTGTAATCGTACCCTCTTTCCAAAGTACAAAACAATTGGGATAGATAATCACGTAATTATAGAATCCAAATACTAACTTCGTTAAATCGACACTCCATCATGCACCGCGACAATAGACAGTGGCTAGGATATAAAGAGAAATGGAAGGAGAAAGAGAGGAAAAAAGGTACAAATTATTGAATGAGAGAGAGAGAGAGAGAGAGAGAGAGAGAGAGAGAGAGAGAGAGAGAGAGTCTCTGTGTGTGTGTGTGATTTTAATTAACCCATTTGAATATCTGCGAAACTAAATAAGAGATCTAAAGTCCGGTTTTTTCGGTTTGTACGATTTCAATAGGACATGTTTTAATGAAAAAATTTGACTTTGTGGATAGAAGTATGAAATAAACTTCACAGTGAAATAAAAATCAACTTTGTTTTTTTAAAATTAAATCTTGATTTTTTTCTAAACATCTATGTTTGTAGATCTTTTCATGATAAATTGAATGACCACATACCCAACATCAATGGAGATCAAATGACGGAAACAGAGCTTAAATTAAGTGACCACGCCCCTGTACTCAAGTCAAATTCTTTTATCAGGTGTCCCCTTTATCAGGTGTCGTACAAAACCATACCTAAAAAAACCGGATCTCGAGATAGCTCTCGAGATATTCAAGTACGTTAATTCAAATTGGATACTTTGTAAACATAAAAAACAGAAACAAAGATGTCTCACATTAACCACAAAGTTACATCAATAATAATATAGATACACAGAACAGCGAGCACACGAAGCAAAGACACTGGCTAAATGACTGGACAACGTTAAAAAAAAAAAAAGAGCGAGAGACTATAAACCGGGACTCTCTTTTTAGCCACGGCACAACATGCTACTTACTAGCTTGGGCGGCGGTAGTAGCGGCTCGATTTGACGCGGATCGCGTATCGAGGGATGATTTGGATGATGGATCATCGCCGGCGGCTGCAGCCGCAGCTGCTGGATGCCCGCGGGCCAGTTTTGCCTGAGCCTCGTCATTCGCACCACGGCACCTTTGGCTTAAATCTTTAACGCCGCGCTCCGGCCTGGCCGCAGCGGCAGCGCCCGACGTAGGTGGGTGATGGACGGTCATATGAACCGAATACTTTACCGGGGAACGTTTTACCGGGGCGGTACTTGCGCTAATATTATTAGCAGTAGTGACAGTGATGTTGGTGGTGTTGGTAGTGGTTGTGGGTTTGGCGTGATGAAGAGGGCGATGGGGAGGGGCGGTGGTCGCGAGGAAGGCTAAAACATATTGTACAAGAAACAGTACAATTGATGAATAGAGTTCTTTGGGCCGTATCTTGTGCGCACACATGTCTAATCGCGATTATTCTCATCGAAAGTTGAATTTCGAAACCGATTGGAAAAGCGCGCCTCCTTCGCTCTCGCGAGACTCGGCGCTTCAAGAAAGCTTCCAAGGAAAAGTGAACGACTGATCTTTTTGCGAAAACTTTTTTAATCGTCTTAAGAATATCCTAAAAAATCTTTTCTTACCTTAGTGTGATTTTAATTGTCTTATAGATATAAAAAAAAATTGTTTTAGCAATGTACTTCAATATTGACTTTATCAAAAAAATTAGTTCTCTTAATAATTATTTATCACTGTTTTAAATATTGCTATTCAAATTATACTTTATTATCATTCAGAAGATAAGTAAAATTGACGTTACTTTTCACGAAATTGACAAAAGCTGAGACTGAGTTTGCCGGAACATTTTCACTACCCTATATATCTCAAAGTCATCAAAATAGATTAATCGTTCGCCCTCGCTCGAATATACAGGAGCCTAATTGCAGTTGAGGAGATGGATTGTATCAACCAGAAAATGTCACTTCTTTTATAGAGACTAATTGTAAGATGACGTTGGTTCTTGTCACGATATTTCATACCGCTCGAATACACGCGCTAATTAATAACTCCAATTCAGTTGACGTGAACTGTAATATTTATTGTATTAGCATAACAAATAAATTATGATTTAAAAATTCATTTTCTAAATTAATTTAATCTATCGTTAAGCTCGTTATCTCTTGATAAAAATAATTTGCGAAACAAAAGTTAATTTAAAACTTTGTCAATAATAAAATTTTATTTTATAATTTATCTTTTCACTTTATAGTAATTACCCGTTATTATCTAGTCTTCGCGAAAAACGGAACTTTATATCTTCTCATGAGTTTACATTGTTGTCCGTATGTACTTTGTATTTGAGTTGATTATTTGATAAATATTTAAATATTTATCGTATAGACATATTTGAAACAAGATTTAAATTTTAAGGAGAAATCCATGTGAAAAAATACAAAATAAATTCATAGAAATCCATGTCTGGCGATAGAGAAGAAGTGCACCATATGCACTCAGCACATATACAAGATCTTTTAGCTAGATTGATCAATAATCGTATCATGCATCAAAAATGATTCGCGCACAACGGCGAAAAAGAAAAGGGAAAGAAAATGTAGTTAAGAAAATAATTGTGGGATCTGAATTCGCTTTGCGAATTTCTAATCTTCTGCAAAAATTTTTCGGGGACCATTTGGAGAGAAGTCTGCAAAAAATTTACAGCAAGTCTAAAATGCATCAGAGATCATCGAGATCGAGAGTCAGAAGGTGAGAGTCAGGATGAATTATAAAAGGGAAAAAAGAGTAGGGGAGCGGGCTCTTTGGTATGCAGTAATTCTGAAAATATGCCAGACCGACGTGACGTGAGAGACAGCGGGCACAGCAGGTGTACGTGGCCAGGTACAGTAAACGTACATTTGCGATGTGGGACTTGCGGGGGCCTCTTGTGGAGCGAAGCAGGCCCTGGGCCCGAGGGTGGCGGCGG